TGACTTTGCTTTCTGAATCTTTAGACAAGCTTTAATAAATCATAAATAATATATCACCACAAGTGGGAGCTCACTAACTCTGGACTGACAGCTGGGCAACTTGCACAGGACCGAACTAGGCCCCCTGAATGCAGGTGACAGTGGGTGGTTTGGGCAGTTTGTGAGGCCACTGGCAGTGGGACCAGGATCTATACCTAGTGCATGAACTGGCTTTTTGGAGATCATTTCCTACGGAGAGATACCTTGTTCAACCTAGACACAGGGGAGAAGGCCTTGGGGCTACCTCAACGTGGTGATGGGTCAGACTTTGTTGACTCCCCATGGGAGGCCTTACCCTCTCTGAAGAGCAAATGGGGGGTGGGGTGAGGAAAAGTAGGGGGAGCGGGAGGAGGGAAGGGGGAACTGGGATTGGCATGTAAAAAAAAATTAAATTAAAAATCCTTTCCCCTAACCATATCATGGAGTGGTCATATCATATCAATGGTTAATTTCAAGATTTCAAAAAAATAAATAAAAATAAAATTTTAAATTAAAAGACAATATGTTTTCTGTTGCCAAAACCTGTCAAAAAAAGTTGGGGCAGGGTTTTGTTTTTGTCTTTCCAGGAGAACAAAAGCATTCAGCTAAGGTATCCAGAGACTACTGAACAAATGAGACATCTGAAGAAGGATGGATCATCAAGAGAAAATGTCCAAAATAAAAGAGGAAATTGGTCTAATGGTATATCATACCTCCAACAGGGCAGACTTTCATAATCTTCCCAAATGCTTGTTTCTGCTGCTCTCTACAATAAAAGGCAAATGGTCTTTTTTTGTGGTCCCAATTCAATTAAAAGTCAAAACTGGCTTGGAACCCCAGGCAGTAATGGCACATGCCTTTAATCCCAACACTCCGGAGGCAGAGGCAGTCGAATCTCTGTGAGTTCTAGGCCAGCCTGGTCTACAAAGCTACACAGAGAAACCTTGTCTCAAGAAACAAAAACAAACAAACAAACAAACAAACAACAACAAAAACTGGCTTTGGAGTTGGAACATGGCTCTCTCCCTCTCTAAACTCATGTATGCTTGTTAAATGAAAATCCCAAATTCCTGTCTCATGTCAGAAGAGCCACCTGGTACAGGATAGAAGAAAATAAAACTAATTAAGGGACTATTCTATTGCCATTAATCTCATAATTGACTCTTTAAAACTTTTCTTAAGAGCCAGGCGGGTGCCGAGTGTTGGTGGTGCACGCCTTTAATCCCAGCACTCAGGAGGCAGAGGCAGGCTGATCTCTGTGAGTTCAAGGCTAGCCTGGTCTCCAAAGCGAGTGCCAGGATAGGCTCCAAAGCTACACAGAGAAACCCTGTCTCAAAAAACAAAAACAAAAACAAAAACAAAAAAAAACTTTCTGTGGGGATATTAGTAGTAATACAGAGTACTAACTATTTCTATAAATGAGTTTCGTCTAGCTTCCTGTATGTGGTTTTCAGATTTAAGTATGAAATAGGTAACTGGACGCTAAGTTTGTGTGCTCTGGATGTACATATAGATTGTAGTCCTCTAACCTTTCAGAGATCTGCTGAAAAGGGCATTTAAAATGTTTTAAGTTTGCCGGGCGTTGGTGACACACACCTTTAATCCCAGCACTCGAGAGGCAGAGACAGGCAGATCTCTGTGAGTTTGAGGCCAGCCTAGTCTCCAGAGCGAGTGCCAGGATAGGCTCCAAAGCTATACAGAGAAACCCTGTCTCGAAAAACCAAAAAAAAAAAAAAAAAAAGTTTTAAATTTTCTACAAAAACCATGACCATTCCTAAGAATAACCTTTGAGGTCTCCAAGAAGATGATGGTGGGAGTTTGCAACACTGGATTCACCTGGATTGTGGTCATGCCACTAAGCTGACAAACACTACCCAAAGACCAATTTTGGACTACAAACTGCTCAGGTCCAGCCTCACAGACTACTCCAGCCAGGACTTTAGATAAGCCCTGTACTTGCCCATCACACAAAGACTGAACAACAAACAATACAGCTAGCTCTTCTAGGACTTGACCATTATCACAATTTTCTCAGGGCCTGCTAAGGTTGCTGTCACCTCCAGACAACAGGAAGAAATTTTAAGAATACAATGACCACATTCCTGAGATGTGGGATGGGTGGTTTTTAATCATTTGGTGGTTATCGATGTTTTTCATTGTTTGGGAGGGGGGCAGTTACAAGTTGTTATTGATCATGTCAGAGAAAAGACTAAGCAAAGGAGGTTAGATTCAGGGATCTCTTTCTTTTTCTTTCCTCTCTCTTTCTTTCTCTTCTATCTAGTGTTGAAAAAAGGGGAGATATAGGAATGATAGGATAAAGGGTAGATTATTGAATCTACTTTTTAAAAAAGATTTATTATTTATAACGTATACAGTCTGCATGTATCACTACAGACCAGAAGAGGGCACCAGATCTCATTACAGATGGTTGTGAGCCATCATGTGGTTGCTGGGAATTGAACTCAGGACCTCTGAAAGACCAGCTAGTGTTCTTAACCACTGAGCTGTCTCTCCAGCCCCTTGAATCTACTTCTAAACTAAAAAGCAACCACTAGTTTCAAATATTTTACACTGGTATAGATTTTTGTATATTGATACAAATTTTAGGTTATTTTTGTTACAACATGCCATATATATGCTTCTACTCTTGTTCCAGGTATTGTAGCTATGGAGCCTATTTTAAAATGTAATGTAAAGTTCTGGTCCTTGAAAGCTGCTATTTCAAACTGTTTAAGATAATTAAGAAATTCAGGTTAGTAGTCACCTATAACAATCAAACTTGTAATCATACTAGGTATGTTTTCAAAGTCAAACATATATTTTAGATAGGTGGTCTACAAATACTTCAGAAATTTACAGAAAATGGAATTTAAGATGTTTTAATAAGGATTTTCATGACTGAGATTCTGTCTGCTCCTGGCAACACCAATCTACTTTAGAGAAGGTGATGGGCACTGAAGAACCTCCATATGGAGTTTGCTTTCTATGTAGCAAAGCTAGCTGCTGGGTAAGAAATTGCTCTTGCCTCAACTCCTGACAGTATATTGTCCAAATTGGACAAGCAGGACACAAAGGAAGTTGACTGCTGAACTTTGCCAAGACTAGGTAGGTTAGTCCTTCAAAATTCCTGCTTCACAGAAGTCTGTCGGATATTCTGGGCCTGTAGGCCAAAGGTGGATCCCAACATTGCAGAAGAACCTTGGGTGGCTGTCCAGGCAGCCAGCTGACTGTCATTTCTATAGTTTTGGAACTTGCCTTCTCTACACTTGTTTACTCAAGTAGTATTTTATCTTTCTCAGGTCTCTGATGGGGTTAAAGACTAGATAGTCATAGTTTTACCATTTTCTTTGTTACCAAATTCAAAAAAGAAATTCACAAAAGAGATGGAAATTTTGTAAAAGTTGAGCGACATAAAAGTTTAAGTTGTTTATCTCAGAAAATGTTTTAAAGTCTAAAAAGATATTTCTAGGTAGGTAATACAAGTTATGATAGAAAGTGATTCAGGTACAAAACTTAGGACTCACCAAGATAGTCTAGATAGTAGAGTAGTTTCTCTGAAGTTGCCAAATACAAATGGACTGGACATTGTAAATTTAATTTTACCTGATAATTGTTCTTATTGTATATAATTTTACTGTGTTAAGAGTTAAAACCTTTCATTTTTATTTAGACAAAAAGGGGGAAATACTTCAGGATATTCAATCACACTGTAAAACCCCAAGACTGTGTTAATTAAATAAAATCACCCCTGGGTCAAGAGGCAGAGTCAGCAACTAGTTGACAGGAAGTAGTAATAGAGAGAGGGAGTCCTGAAAACAGAGACAAACAGGAAGTAGTAGGGAGGGACTTTGAGCGTCTTTTTTTTTTTTGGTTTGGGGTGGTGGAAGGACACTCTTGCTGGGTCTCTGGCTAAAGAGGTAAGTCAGCTAGTTGCTTCTCAGCCTCGCAGAGCTAGCAGGTTTTTACCCCATCATCTGACTCCTAAGTCTTTATTGGCAAATAGAATGAGAGATTTAGTTAAAAACTACATTTGACTGCAGTGGCAAAAGGTGGTTCTGGCTGGATGCTATCCCTCAGGACCTCTGCCTGGGCAGCGGGTGACCTGTGGGGCAATGATTTCGGAGCTACAGTCAGTAGCTGAAACAGCAGTAGATTCGGGTGCAGCCTTCTTTTTATCTGCCCACAAGGTCTAGAATGGCCTAAACACCTCAGGTAGACTTGGGCAGAAAAGTTGACTTGACTGACATCTGTGGAAGCTTTTGATTCGGGAATCCACATATAAAACCTCCTGGTATCTACCACTTTCAGTCTGTGGGGGAGCTAACCTTTACTGTCCTATAAATCCCCAAGTCCCCTGTGGCACATGCATCCAGTCTCTGCTCCCTCAGAGATTGTGGCCCTTTTGTCCTTCTGATTAACAAACAATTCTGCTTTTGGAGATGCCTGGAGATGCAAGTCTCCTCTGTCAGTCCTAATCGAACAGTTTTAGATGGGTGTGGTGGGGCACGCCTTTAATGCCAGCACTCGGGAGGCAGAAGCAGGAGACTCTTTATGAATTCCAACATTCAGAACTAGGGCTGAGGATGTAGTTCATTGTAGAGAGTGTGCCTGGAATGTATGAGGGCCTTCACCTCCGGGTGAAGTTGGAACTCTTCACATGACTTCACAGGGGCCTCTCACGACCAGGCTGCACTAGCCAGACACCCGTGCTCCCCGTGAGCGGATGCCACCGCACTTCATTTATTTATTTTTAAAGATCTATTTACGTACTTTATGTGTAAGGGTGTTTTGTCTGCATGTGCATTTGCATACCAGAAGAGGGCACAGGATCCTATGGGACTAGTTACAGATGGTTGCGAGCCACCAAGTGGATGCTGGGAATTGAACTCAGGACCTCTTGTAGAGCAGCTCTTAACCGACGAGGCATCCCTTCCGCTCGGCCACCGCACTTCTTTAAACACCGTGACAGTCACTACCCTTACCCGAGGTTCCACAGCACTTAGCAGAATTCATTCGGCGCGCGATACCGCCGTGCAGCCAGCAAGACACCATCCCCGGCCGGCCCCGCCTCACGCCGTCCGGAAGCGCTCGCTGCCGCAGAGAAACACCGGAAAGTGACTCTCGCTCCCCCTTCAACTCCCCTCACACCACACACATATAATTTCGCGCACGCGCGGGCTCTGCGCCTGCGCACTCGTCATTCGCTGCTCGCAAGCCTCTCTGCGCAGGCGCAGTCCCGCGGTTCTCCGTTGAGAAGGTGCGGCTGCTGCGCGGGGAGGTAGGAGGAGCCGGGCATCGGGCTAGTGACCCGGCGCGGGTGGGGGTGGGCTGTCAGTTTCCGCGGTACCCCTCTCTTGCCGGTCGGCGTCTGTCTGGTCCGTAGACGCCAGCGGCCACTGGCTCTCAACCGGCCCACGGCGGAGTGGCAGTGTGCTCGGTAGACAGGGGCAGCGCCCGCCCCGAGGGAGGTGGGGACAGTAGTATCATGACCACCGGGCAGTCCAGCGATCTGTCTGGCTTTGGGACCGTCAGGGCGTTTCCCAGGCAGGCCCCCAGTCTCCTTTGGTGGGTCTTCAGCAGGGGTAAGCGGGAAGGGTCCGCCCCGCCCCCGGATCCATTCATTCCCTCGACGTCTGCCGGCTGGTAGGGTGCTGAGGAGGCAGGAGTCACCTGCCCTCTGGAAGCTTGAAGCCTGGTGGGATCCCTTATGTCGTCTACCAGATATTGGTGGAGCACCTACCGGAGAGGGACATCTTATCACTCGATTGTCAGCAGAGATTGTCAACACTAATGAATGTGACATTTACACAGCTCTAGCATGATAAAATTCAGTTTGCTTTTGCCTGGTGTTCCAGGCCCTTGTGCCTAACTTCTCTCTCCCTGCAGACCTCTCCCTTCTACCGTTTCTCTTCATTCCCACAGTATCAAACTCTGCAGTTCGTGAATTCAACAGATAGTTGCCTAGCATTTATTACAAGTTGGGTACCAGACAAACCAAAGAAAATACAAAGTAAATAAATCTGTATCTAACTGATGTGCTGAACTTCATTAACAGATAATTCAGTGAATAAAAACAGGATTAAAACCTGAACCACACTGCCTAGAATCTCTGCCCTGCTACTTCAAAACTGTTCCTCACTCTGCCTGTGCCAGATTCCTCGATCTAAAGAAAAGATGATGGTAGATTGTATTTCAGTATCGCCATAAGGATTAAATGAATTAGAGATTTAAGAAGCGTTTGGCCTAGTGTCTGGTACACAAGCATTCAATAAGTGTTATGCCCTGCAAATGATTATAAGCTGTGACAGATGTCACTGTGACAGTCATGTGTGATAACACAGAATGAGGAGGGGGGGCAAGGCCCATGTGAAGGAGTAGGGGAAACTCCTCTAAGATTATTGCATGACTAAAATTTGGAATGGATAGATTTCTGCCATTGGGTTATTTAGGGAGGTGTGTGTGTGTGTGTGTGTGTGTGTGTGTGTGTGTGTGTGTGTGTGTGTTTGTTTGAGAGTGTGTATGTGTACGTGCTAGCTGGTGCCTGCCCTCCCCCCAGACCCAATGAGAATATTGGGTATACTGCTCTATCACTGTTGGCCTAGCCTCTCAAGACAGTCTCTCACTGGAACCTGGAGCTTGCAGTTTTTCAAGTGGACTGGCTTAACCATCAAGTTTCAGCAGTTCTCCTGTCTCTGTCTCCCCTTCCAGTGAGTGCTACCACACCTGGCTTTTTTACATGGTGCTGGATATCCGAAATCAGGTCCCCATGCTTGTATAGTAAGCACTCTTACCCACTGAGCCATTTCCCTAGACCTAGATAATTGTGTTTTGAGTTTTGAACCCCAATACTCTGTATCCCAGTAAACATTCATGCCCATAAGGCCCAACCTACCTTTATCTGCAGACAGTTTTTTTTTTTTTTTTAAAAGAGTGGTTTCTGTTCTCTCCTGGGTATACAAGCAAGGACATACCCTTTATCTCTCTCTCTCTCTTTTTAATTTATTTATTAGTTCTAGTTAGGGAACAAGCTTGTTTCACGTCCCTTCTCCCTCTCCCTCCCCTCACCCCCAACCCTCCTCCCCCACCCCTTTATCTCTTTATTTCAGTCATTTTACAGCATTTGCTGACACCCTTACCAGCTGATGAAGCGATAGCTGGGGATCTGAGGCCACTGTGCAGACACAAGCTCCCTGTAGTTGGGAAACATTTATTTTGTGGCAGCTGGCCTTCATGTTTTTCTCCAAATTTCAGTAAAAAGCACATTCCCAAGATACACAATTTTTTTTTTCCTGCCTGGAGACTATGCATTTGCAGGCTTCTAGATTGTACATGCGTGTGCGTGTGTTCTGTGTCATGTGCTTTGTACTGGGACATACTGTGGGACAATTATATTTCTATCCAGGCTATACCTTGGAGACTTTCCCCATACCCTACATGCTCTTGTACCTTCCTGGGAGAAATGACCTAGCAATAGCTGTCTGATTATACTTAGATGCTTTTGGTTTTCCACAGATACGAAATTAAATGAACCCATACTCTTTATCACTATGGAGAATCAGTTCACATGTGTTTTGTCTCAGAGGCAGCAGTTGGACAGCAACATATTCCTTCCCTTGTGAATATTAACGAGGGAAGTTTTTAAGCTTGTTTAACTACGGGTCCCAATTGAAGAAAGATATGTAAGTCATTATGGAGAGGAAAACAGTACTTTGTTCATAGCTGTGCAAAGTCTCTGAGTAAATCATAGAGAAGAGAAGCCCTAGTGAACGGAGTGTGGTAAGGCCCAAGTGGGCTTTTTCACGAGTTTCCTCTCTGTGGACATGTTTCCAGATCCATCCTCACTCCACTAAAGACAAGCCTGAAAACCTTAAAACGGGTCACATGATGGATGAGTCAGATGATGATTTCAAAGAACTCTGTGCCAGCTTTTTCCAAAGGGTGAAAAAAAATGGAACCAAAGAAGTGTCAGGAGAAAGGAGGAAGCCGAAGGCTGCCGGTAGCACTCAGAAAAGAGGCAAGCTGAAAGAAACCAAGCAAACTGCCACCAGGAGCAAAACCCTTCAAGGCCCTTCAGAGAAGAAACCTCCATCAGGCAGCCAGGCCTCTAGGACTAAAAAGCAAGGGGCACCTAAATCCCAAGAAGGGGACCCAGCTCTCCCTGTGAATGGAAAGGGAGGTGTCCTTGCTCCTATCCCACAGCCTGTGTTGTATGAAAGAGCACAGAGCATTCAGACAGGTAACCAGCAGGGCCCACTGGGACCTACCGCCAGATACGGTTTTGGAGAGGGAACCAAGTGATGTGTGCTGCTGTAAACTGGGGCTCAGAAAACTTGCTATAAAAGGCCAGATAACACACATCTCTAATCCCAGCACTCAGTAGGCAGGGGCTATGAGTTGTAATGCTAGCCTGGTCTACATACTGAGTTCTGGGACAGCTGTGGCTATGTAGAGAGATCCTGTCTCAAACAAAACAAAACAAAACAAAAGGCTAGAGAGTAAATACCCTGTTTTTACAGATCATATAGTTTGTGCTGCAACTATAATTGGCCCTCCTTGTCGTGGGTTCCAAATCTGTAGGTTTACCCTCTGTCATATACTCAGCATTTGAGAAAAGAAATAGTCTGTGCTTGATATGTCCAGACTTTTTTCTTGTTTTTATTCCCTAACAATATAGTGTAAGCAATATTTATATAGCATTTACTGTGTATTGGGTACTATATTAATCTATAGCTGAATTGAAGCACATTGTGGGTACACAGGTTAAATGTAGATAGTGTACTTTGTAAAAGGGACTTCGTAGGTACTTCTAGACTGATCTTCCCTAGTAGGGAGGTCAACTGTGCTTAATGGCTGCTATAGTGAGAAAGCAGCAATAGATGATGTGGAAGTGAATAGGTGAATAGTTAATAGCCTTGTGCCAGTGAAACTTAATTTACAAAAACACGGCTGCCCAAGGACCATACTTTGCTCAATTCTATGTGTGCGTTCCTTCTCTGAGTTTGTATGAGTATGTGGTCTGCTTTCCGTGAATGTTTATATAGTTGACAGTAGTGGTGTCAGCATAAAAATAATGACACTTTCGTATTTTTATGAATTAATTCTAAGTTAGGTAAGTTGGAATGGGCCAGCCAATTGGTTAGGCTGAGGAGGCTTTCAGAGGGTGCACCAGAGGTTCAAGGTCCCTGCCCTGTCACCCTTGGCATCCTCAGCCTCTTCACACAGAACTGAAAACCAGCCTTGCACGTGTGATGTGTTCACTCTTCAGGGTCCTGATTTCTGTTTCTGATTTTCCTCACCTTCTCTTCTTTATTCTAGAGGACATTTTTTTTCTAACATGGGTGCAGAGTCTGAGCCCTGGAGACTGCTGAAGGACTACGTAATGCTGCCCTCTGGGCACTCAGGCTCCCTTTGAGCAGCTGGTGAAAGCTCCATGGTATTTGCACATACATATGTGTGAAATTGGCTCGTAACTTCAGGGGTTCCTGAATCTCCACAGAAGGCCATAGATGAGTCTCAAGTTAAAGAATTGGTCTAGAAAGAAACACTTGCTATTAGTATTTTTTTAATGAGTTTTATTGAGATATTACTCATATTCCATAATTTCACTCTTAAAATGTACAGTTTAGTGTTTTAGTACATTCAGAGTTGTGTAACCACCACCACTACTACCTAACTTGAGAGCATTTTCATCACCCCTCAATCAAACCACAAGCTCATCAGCATTTGCTGAACCCAGTATCCCCCTGCATTGATACATGTCTCCTTGCTACAGTGAGTGCATGAACAGGTCCTGTTCACACAAGTTGGGTCAGAGGTGAACTGCCTGGTAAAGGACATTTTGGAAGGACATTTGTAGAACAAATGCTGTGAATATTTTCCTCTTTGCCAGAGAGTGCTCCCAATGGCGACTCCCGGCCCCTTCCACCCTATCTCACTACGACTGGTGTGCCAAGTCCCTCCAAACCCAGAGCCTCAGAGCTGGTTCTCCAACGGATGAAGCAGTTCAAGAGAGCAGACCCTGAGCGCTTGAGACATACTTCAGAAGAGTCCTCCCTAAGGACCACGATGGAAGAAAATGTCCCAAGGAGCCCTCAAGAGGAGATGGTGGTCGAGAACGGTATGGTGAGCATGTTCTGCTTTGTAAGACAAGACGGTATAAAAAAGGGAAATAGAAGGAACCCTGTTCGCCTCATTTCTTTATATAGGTTCTCTGTCTGATGTTTATTTCACCACCGCATTGGAGGAATGGACTATCCCTATAAGAACTATTTGTTTCATTATTTTTAATTACATGTATGTATATGTATATCTGTGTGGGGGTATATCTATGGAAGTCAGGTGCCTGTGGAGGCCAGAAGAGTATGTTGGATCCCTTGGAGCTAGAATTGTAGGCAGTAGTGAGCTATCTGACATGGCTACTGGGTGCCAAACTCTGGTCCTCTGCAAGAGCACCACACACTCATCACCACTGAGCTATCTCTTTAGCTCATTTCTGTTTGTTTGTTTGTTTTTCCGAGACAGGGTTTCTCTGTAAGTTTGGAGACTGTCCTGGAACTCTCTTTGAAGACCAGGCTGACCTCAAACTCACAGAGATCCACCTGCCTGAGTGCTGGGATTAAAGGCATGCGCCACCACCGCCTGGGTTTTAGCTCCTAATTTCTTATTGGACTTCTTACATGGTCTTGCTCCGTTTTTTCCTTCCTCTCTTTCCATTCCCCCTCCCAATTCTTATTATTAAATTATTCTTTTACAGAAAGTTTTTTTTTTTTTTGTTTTAACCACAGTAGGGGCTGAGGAAATGGCTCAGTGTATAAAGTATTTTCTGTGTAAGCAAGCACAAGAACTTGAATTCAAATCCCCAGCATCTCTGACTGGGCGTGGTGCTGCACACTATAATCTTCACACTGAAAGCTAGGCAGGATGGTCCCTGGAAAGGTGGGAAGCCATAGGGGAAGACACCTGACATTGGCAATGGCCTTCACACACCACATCACACACATACACCCCAAAAACCAAAACAAAATAACAAAAAAGCCCACAGGAAGTCCTGCTTTATGCCAGTTCTCAACCTTCCTAATGCTGACACCCTTTAATAAAGTTCTTCATGTTGTGGTGAACCCAACCATATTTTGTTGCTGTTTCATAACTGTAATTTTACTACAGTTGTGAATCATAATGTAAATATCTGATCTGCAGCTCCCGAAGGGGTCGTGACCCACAGGTTGAGAACTGCAGCTTTATGTGCCCTATCTAGATTTAACAGTTGTAACATTTAGTCATACACACACTTTTTTGTGTATAGTTTTTCACATCCTTATTTTTGTTTTGTTTTGTTTTTCAAGACAGAATTTCTCTGTGTAGCCCTGGTGCTACTATGGCCTAGCTAATTTTTCACATCTTAATTAGCTTTGTTCATGATTATGGAATTGGGCAGCAGACTAGACCCAGAATGGTTCCAAATGCTCCTGCCTTATGTATTTTGTGTCTCTATACCTATCAATGATGCTTTGACATCATTGACATGCTACCCTTAGATTTTCTCACAAAAGCACAACCCAATTTCGTAACAGTTCCCCAGTTGTCTAAGCTATCTTTTTAGCCTGTCCTGGAACTCACTCTGTAGACCAGGCTGGCCTCGGACTCACAGAGATCCACCTGCCTCTACCTACCGAGTACTGGATTAAAGGCATGTGCCACCACTGTACAGCCCAGCCCAAGCTATCTTTTTTTTTTTTTTTTTTTTTTTTTTTTTTTTTTTTTTTTTGGTTTTTTCGAGACAGGGTTTCTCTGTGACTTTGGAGACTGTTCTGGAACTCGCTCTAGGGTGGCCTCGAACTCACAGAGCTCCGCCTGCCTCTGCCTCCCGAGTGCTGGGATTGAAGGCATGCACCACCAACGCCCAGCCCCAAGCTATCTTTTGTAGCTTGCTTTTTTTCCTGCACAAAGTTCACATGCTGTGTATTGTTTTAGCTCTAATAGTCTTTTGGGGATGGGGTTCAGACAAGACTTTGCTATGTAGTTCTAGAATTCACTATGTAAACAAAGCTGCCCTTGAACTCAGGGCTAATCCTTCTGCCTCTAACCCTGTCCACATAGTAGTATAGGCTTGAGCGTCATACCCGGCTCTGAATAAAATCTCCTTAGTTCAGACTGTAAAATAGTTCTTTTTTTTTTTTTTTTTTTTTACATTAACTTTTGAAAAGTCCAGACTAATTAACTGGCTCATAATTTGCCACATTTTAGATTTGCTTGGTTATTTGTTTATGGTGCACTGTAAGTAAACTAGAGGTCTCACCAGCTCTAGGTTAAACAGTTTGGCATCCTCTCTTAAAAGGGGCTGTGAACTTTGTGTTCCTAGAGGCTCATAATGTCAGGTGATCCTATAAGCATCGTGGATCTTCATCTCTGATGACTATGTACAGAAGGAGAAGAAGGGGGTTTGGGGAAAAGGCTCACTGGTTAAAGTACTTGCCACATAAGCATGAGGAGTTGGATCCTTAGCACCCACATCAAAGCTGAGCATGTATGGAGGGCCCACCTGTAATCCCAGGGCTTGGGAGACCAATAAAGGAGATCCCTGGGGCTAACTGGCTAGCTAGACTAGCTGAACTCATGAGCTCCAGGTTCTGAAGAAACCCTGCGCCAGTAAATTAAGTGAAGAGCGATCAAGGAAGACACTCAGTATCAATCTGTGGCCTACACACATGTACACACACACACACACACACACACACACACACACACACACACAAACACACACAATCAATCAAGACACACATGTACACTCATGTACACATATGTGTGATATACATGTGCACTTGCTCTAAAGGAATTGGAAGAAACACTAGTGGGAAATCCTACTAATTATTAATTAATAGCTAATTAATAATGGGATCTCTGGGTACTGTATTTGCTGTCTTTGAGAGTTCTAAGGATTCTCAGGCTGCAATGATTGGACATCTTGTTGAGTCATCAGCCCTTATAGCATGTGGCAAGAAGTAATACACACCATCTCTCTGTTTAGGAAAAAGAGGAGCTGGGGTTGGGGCTGTAGCTCGGTGGTGCAGTTTATCATGTGTGAAGTCCTGGGTTTGATCTCTAATACCACAAAAGAAATAAGGCACCAAAAGAAGTTGTACGGTTTTTTAGCTTGTGACAAGAGTGGTAGATGGAAGTAATAGTCAAGAAATTGGAGAGTGGGCATATTCTCTGTGAGTCCAGGATCACGTTTTGAGCTATCTCAAGGCCAGAATCACTCCATCCTGTGTCAGCTGCTAATAGAGTTCTTGATTGTCAAGGGCATTTTTCCTGATTCTTTTTTTATAATCAATAAGAAGAGGTCAGCATTCGAAGAGGTGGAGTCCCCAGCACGATTCCACACATCAAAGCCTGCATTTTAACAAGCTTCAGGTGATCTGTATGCACACTAAAGTATGGAAAAAGCTAATCCAAGAGTCCCCCTGCCCAGTGCCCACTCTCCCTAGGCAATGCCGGTAAACACACTTGCAGAGTGATGCTAGGTTTTAGTTTCTTTGTTCTTTGCCTAGTGCCCATGATGCTAGAGCTGTAGACAAGACAGAGGGGTAGAAGGTCATGGAGCCTGTCTGTTCTCATGGATCTGGATGCTTCTCCACTCCACAGAGTATAAACCCAGGCTCCATGCCACAGACAGTGATGCTGCTATGGCCCTGGCCTTACAGCAAGAGTTCAGAAGGGAGGAAGCATCTTCCCATCATGACAGCTTGGAGGAGAAGGGGTTGTTCTTCTGCCAAATGTGTCAGAAAAACCTCTCAGCAATGAATGTGACTCGGAGGGAGCAGCATGTGAACAGGTAGGAGCAGCAAGGGCCACCCCCTCTTCTGTGTCAGTGACCAAATTCCAGTGACCTGATAGTACCAGTGGGAATATTGATACCTTGCATTAGGATAGCACCTCAGTGTCACTAACATACCCCTTTTTCTGAACCCATGGAGGTTGAACCCTCGTGATGTATTTCATCCACTTAAGGACACAAGTCCTTGACTTTTGTGCACCTGTCACCACCATCACTTTTGGATTACTTTCATTACCTCCAAAAGGAACATCCTTCCCCCTTGGAAGTCACCATGTGTTGTCCCCTTCCTCCTCCTGACAACTACCACCTGTGTACTCACATACGTGGAATCACACAATATTTGTCCATCCTCCACTTAACAGCTCATCTCTGTGTTGTTTGTCAGTGTGTCATCCCCAACACCACTCTAATGGCTAAATAGTAGCCCATTGTGTGGTTAGACTGCACACTTGCACCTTCATCCATTGCCAGACATTAGTGTTTACACCTCGTGGATTTTTATAGTATTGCTGCTGTGAACATGTGTTTCATGGATTTGTTTGAACACTTGCTTTCATTCCTTGGGGCTTATACTTGGGAGTGGAATTGTTGGATTGTAAGGTAAGTCTATGTTGTCTGTCCTTAAATTCTTTAGGCACCTTTGCTGACACATACCTAAATTTAGTGTCTGAGGCTGACTGCCAGGAGACATGCAGATGGCGTGAGGGGATCAGCTTTTGGGGAACATTTACATGTTGATGCCGATTAAGCATTTGCTGTAGTCCATGTTACTTGAGAGGGTTCTGTATTTACTGACTTCTGCAGATGCCTTGATGAGGCAGAAAAGGCACTGAGACCTGCTCCACCTCAGATCCCTGATTGCCCAATATGTGGTAAACCATTCCTCACCTCCAAGAGCCGAATCAGTCACTTGAAACAGTGTGCAGTAAAGATGGAAGTGGGTCCCCAGCTCCTGCTCCAGGCTGTAAGGCTACAGACAGCTCAGCCTGAGGCAGCCAGCAGCACTCTGGTACCCAGGTAAGACAGATGAAGGAACCAAACTCTAGTTCTGCCCACCATGTTAAGGTCCCAAGTAACACACAGAGACTTATATTAGGTATAAATGCTGCTGGTCAATGACTAGGATTTCTTACTTGCTAGCTCAGTCTTAATTATCAAGCATAATCATAAGACTTATCTTATGGAGGACGCCAGCAGAACGTGCCCTGTCTTGCTGGGATCACATGGCAGCTCCAGAGCAGAGAAGAGAGCAGGAGGAAGAGGAAGAGCAAGAGAGAGATTTCCTGCTTATATTGAGTCTGCCTGCTATGTCACTTCCTGCCTGCATCACAGACTTCTTTACTACATTTCCCAGACTCCTCCTCGACTCCTAGTCCCACCTATCTTGCTTTTCTATTGGCCAACAGTACTTTATTTATCAACCAATAAGACAAACATATACAGAAGGACATTCCCCATCACCAAACAATGGTGTTTTCTCTCCAGTTAGACTTTGCCTGAAAAGCTTGTTATATAGTATTGGAGAGAACTAGCTCTCTTGTATTCTGGCATGGGACATATAAGAAAATTGTTCATGGTTGAAGAAGGATCAACGAGCACAAGGATTTTGCATGCATATGGGGCTACCCATGCAGAGAATTGCCACTGCTTCCTGAGGTCCTTCCTTCAATGTTGCCAGTCCCATAACCCTGCAGAGACCACTCTAGAGCATCTAAGCATGTCGTACTTGCTTTACTCCCCTGTTGTGGTTGTGCAGCATGTTTCTATGTTAGTGTAGCTTCATTTTCATACTATGATGTCAAATTATTCAGCACAGTTCCAAGAGTTGACTAGGCAGAACTGTAAGACTATATATTATTCTGTGAGAATTCCATACGATGTTTTTTTGTTCATATTTACCCCCCACTCTTTCCCCTAAGAATGATTTTTTTAATTGCATGAGTTAATGCTTATGTATTGAAATAGGAGGCTCCCTTAACAACTGGGAAGCAGTCCTCAGTATGTAGACGCCAGGCATACAGGGAACAGAGATAGCGTGAGTACCAGGCTTCTGTGGGAAAATGTTTATCCTTGTCACCGCTTTGGATGTGGGTTTTAGCTGCTGGGCCGGGCCACAGCTGAGATCACCATGGTCAGAGGGGGTTCTCCAAGCCAGGGAGTCTACCTACATTTAGTGCATCCATACTAGTACTGTAGGGCAGGAAGTTTGAGGTCTTAGACATCTAATCTATTGCTTATCTTACAGATTAAACATGTTTACTTTAAAAATGCTTCCAGCTGGGCGTTGGTGGCACATGCCTTTAATCCCAGCAGGCAGAGGCAGGCAGATCTCTGTGAGTTCGAGGCCAGCTTGGTCTCCAGAGCGAGTGCCAAGATAGGCTCCAAAGCTACACAAGAGAAACCCTGTCTCGAAAAAAATAAATAAATAAAAATAAATAAATAAAAATGCTTCCAGATAGTGAAAGTAGATGTATACGGGCCCTTCTAGAAGGCTGGTGAATAGAAAGTTTTGGGGATTGAACACCCTGAAGGGACATTGGACTTTCTCTAAGGGGGCTCTGAACATTCCTCTACTGAGACCAAGCTAAGGCATTTGGACTTTGGAATATTCCGAATTTCATGGTTAGAGCACCATGCTGGTCTGAGTATGTTCTTGCCTTCTGCATTCCTTACTTGATTTCTCTAAGCCCGGGCCCTGCCTGTGGCACAGGGTGCAGCATCAGCACTGCTCTTACACCTAACTCCTGGCTACTGGCTGGTGCCCCTCTCTCTTGCCTGTGATTAGCTGAGTTGGGGATCGTTTTACTTTCCAAGACCACACCTAAGAACTCCGACTTTCCCTGTGTAGGGAGAGCTTGAGCTTTTGCAAAAATCTGAGTTGTGACAGCAGCTGCAGGGCAGGCTCTCAGAGTTGCTTCCTACCACACCTCCTCCTTGCCCAGCTGCTGGGGCTCGCTCAGACAGTAGATTTTTCTTTCCAGCCAGAGAGCAAGCCTTCTGTAAGGCAGAGAGAGGTCAACTCTAGGGCATCTGCTTTGTGGCAGCAGAGTCTGGAAGCCTTGTCTTTTGGGCTTTGGATAGAATGTCACTGTAGTCCTCCTGCAGGAGGGGAAGGATCGTTGTGGACAGGACTGCCTTGGGGGCATCTGAAGTTTCAGGGCAGAACTTGTTGGCTACAGAGAGCCTTCTTGGACCTATAGACAATGAGGATTTAGCCACATCTAGGTATGCAGGTACCGCTGATGACCAAGAAAGAGCCCAGGCCCTCCACTGTTGGACTGTGCTAAATTTCTAGTTTGGGTCGAATGAGCACACTAAAAATAGAATCAGCACAGTGAAAGCCCAAGCAATTGTTCTGCCATTGTAATGGGCAGACACATCCATCTCTTATTTTCTGTAAGACAGAAGAGGTCCAGAATCAGAGGCACTTGCTGACCTTTCTCTGTGGCTATCTTTTAATTTCAGCAACCATGTTGGAGGTTTGAAACGGAAAGGAGCCAGCATCAAGAAGGAGCCAGAGAAGAGGTGGAAGATCAACAAGCCCGAGGCTCCATCTGAAGATCTCCTGGTGGCCATGGCTCTGTCTCGCTCTGAGATGGAGCAGTGTCCAGCTGTGCCCCCACTGAGATTGGAAAATGCTTTTTCTGAGAAGATAAGGCTAGGTGCAGGTACATGTGGCTGGAGCAGAGGCCTGGGGAGAGCTTGGTGCTGGTTGCTGGCTGAGAGTTATCACAGCAGCTGCTGGGATGAGCGGTCAGAGCCACTTCTGACTGGGCCACTTCTGTTTATCTCTAGAGAAGAAAGGTCGCAGGAAGAAACCCCCGGTGTGTCCCCCACAGTTGTTAACCCAGGACTCTGAGACCACAAGTAGACAGATTGAGGATCGTGTCGCCCAGCTCCTATCAGAGGAAGTGGAACTGTCCTGCACCCCGCCACTTCCTGCCAGCAGGATTTTTCAGGAAGAATTGGAACATGCAGGCTGGCGTCTGCAGCTGCCTGAAGGAAAGCGGAACTTTCTGTGGCAGCGCAGTGCCCTCACAGGAGCCTTGGCTGAGGAGTCCTTCTATACAGCGAGCCTGGTTCCTCTAATTGTGTCCCAACGGCCTCCCAAGGTGAGCTCTGCTCCTCCTAACGCACATTTGGATGGACTTTGGAAAGAGGTGGGTAGTCTAGCAACAAGATACCAGGGTTGGATGAGGAGAAGTCTAATAAACAGATTAGGGTTGAAGCAACAGAGGCTGTACTTCATGTCTGTGGCAACTCAGTAGGACTTCTGCTAAGAAAAAAAGGATTTTGTTTCCCCAAATTTAGCATATTCTTGGAAAGCTTGTTTAAAATGTGAAGTCCAGGCCCACTCCTGTCCAACTATTAAATCTGTCTGAGATAGAGCCTTGGAACCTAGGTCCTGAATACATACTTTAGACAGTTCTGCTAAAGGTGGTCCTGCCTTGGTATTTAGCAGCCTTGGCCATTTAAATAACATGAAGTGAGCTACTTTGGGGCCCCTTCTTCATACTTGGAGGCATCAGGTAGGCCTGAGCCATGACAGAAGCTGCCAACACTGCAGGTTCCTGGCTGCTCTTGACCTCCCTTGAGGGCCCTGCCCTATCTGCAATCTTAGATGTAGCTGTGCATGTGTAGGGTGGCTGTGGCAGTGTGTCAGTAACAATAACACATAGTCACTAACTGTTCACCTTCTTTCAGGAACAGGAGCTGCCACTGCCCAAGCAGCAAGAGCCAAGTACACAAAGGCCACCTGCTTTCCACAGCAGCCCTCCCATGAGCCACAGCCCCAAGACCCAGCTGCTGTCCTCCAGCCAGAGGGAGCATCAAGCTCTTCAGGATCTTGTGGACTTGGCAGAGGAGGGGATGAGCGCCAGCCCATTGCCCAGCAGTCTGGGAGTTCCTATAGGTGAGACACTGGGTGATGTCTTGGGCCTACCCATGCAGTCTGAGGGGGTCTGTGGGAGTAGAGCATGGGCTGTTGTGAGGCTCTGTGCTTATCTCAGTTCAGTGGAGAAGGTGGTGTAGGGTGTGTTCTGTGTTTTCCTCAGAGATGACTGTGATGCACACACATTTGTATATCTCACAATCTTCCTTAAGCTTTAGCCAAACAGCTTCCTGGGCTAATCTTGTCTGTTTACAATCCTCTGACCTTTCTGTCATGGAAATGGGTAGAAATAATTGGGAGAAGGTTACTTTAAGTGAAGATGCCCTCAAATAACGTGTCTAGCCAAGCCTAGGGTCAACACTGCCTGCTTGGGAGGTGACATCTCTTTAATCTATACATCCTCTTCTCAGGGTTGGATTTGGGTTCCAGCAGCCTTCCACTGACTGGGTTTGTCCTGCCATCTAAGAAGACCCTTCAGAGGAGTGACCACGCCTCAGTAAGTGTGAAGACTTACTTCTATGGTACAAGTTAATGTGTCAGCTCTGCCCTGGCTTTGTGGTCTATATCCCAAATGGCATACCTTGACAACCCTTGCTGGAGCTGAGAACCCCTGGCCTCCTGCCTCCCCTCTTGGGTCATTGCTGTGCTTGGACACTGTAGGTTTCCTCAGCAGCCAGTCCTCCAGCCTGCTCTGTTGAGGGGTTCAGAGATTACTGCCCCCGTAGTGACCACCTCATTTGGGCATCTGTTCTGTGTGTTTGCTTCTTTAGTGATTTCCTTCCTCCATTAGGCACTCACTGTGCCCCTTCTTTGTATGGATTATGGGGTGGGCTCCAACTCACAACCCAATGTACTCTGTTGGTAATGAATGGCATTGGAAGATGGGAATTCCATAAAGTGGGTGTCATTCCATAAGGACCTACCTATGCAGAGGACCATCTTGGTGATGTCTCTGCGTGTATCGACAAGTATTGGGTTTCTGAACAGCTTGGGCTCAGGGTGTGGTCCTTTGCATCAGGTTACTCTGAGAACCAGGTATCCTGCTGTGCTTAGGAGCTGTGAAGATGCCTTTATCCACCACTGTGCCTTCCTACCATAGGTCAGGCAACACACCGTAATATGGAACCTGAGAAAGCAATTAGCATTTGTCATTCTGGTTTAATGAGGTCCTTAATGTAACCCAGAGATAGACCCTCAGGCCTCATATGTGCACAGCCTGGAGAGGAAAGCATGGCCCTGGCCCTTGGTCTTCCCTTGGCAGTTAGCAAAGCATTGAGGGACCTGACAACCCTCTTTTCCTCCTCCCATTACAGCTCTCCTCTCTTGGGTTGCTGGTGTCTGACTTTGGGACAATGGTTAATAATCCACACCTGAGTGATGTCCAGTTCCAGATTGACAGCGGAGAGGTGTTTTATGCCCACAAGTTTGTTCTCTATGCCCGATGTCCACTTCTTATTCAGCATGTAAGCATACAGGGTGCTGGCGCCCTACCTCCTCCCTTTTTTTTTCAAAAAGTAAGTTTTCCTTCTTCCTTCACTAGTATTGCATCTTCATGGAATCTCCCAATCACTCACTCTCTCTCTCTTACTCTCTCTCTCTCTCTCTCTCTCTCTCTCTCTCTCTCTCTCTCTCTCTCTCTCTCTCTCTCTCTCTCTGTTGAAACTTGGGACCCTTTTGCCTCAGTCTCCTAAGTGCTGAGATTACAAGCTTGAGCTACCATGTAGTATACTATCCACAGACTGCTCAATCTTTGTCAGAAAGTTCTAGACACAAGCATGTCCAACCTTTAATACTGCAATATGATATTATCATCTGCAAATGTACTGGGGCATATTCATTTCTATACTAGAACTCATGCAACTCACAGGCCCAAATATGTAGCATGAATTCTAATTTGTCTTAATAATAAAAACTCAGAGTCAGCTATAAGGGGATGAAAGCTGAAAGATCAGAGAAGCAGAGTGGCCAGCCACTAGAGAGTTTTTTGTTGTTGTTGTTTTTTGTTTTGGTTTTCGAGACAGGGTTTCTCTGTGGCTTTGGAGGCTGTCCTGTCTAGCTCTTGTAGACCAGGCTGGTCTCGAACTCACAGAGATCCACCTGCCTCTGCCTCCTAAGTGCTGGGATTAAAGGTGTGCGCCAACAATGTCCGGCTCACTAGAGAGTTTTTACCTTTATCAATGCTCAGACAAAAGGGGCCATCCTGTCCTCAGACTGTATCCTCAGACTGATGCCTCAGACTGCATCTGTCTCTACAAATCCTCAGACTGCACAGACTATCTACTCAGACTGACTGCTGCTCAGACTGCACTGAGCTCTTGTCTTCTCCCACTTTATATTCCTCTCTCCTGCCCAGCCATATCATTCCTTTCTCCCTATTTTGGGATTAAAGGCGTGGGATCCCAAGTGCTGGGATCACCTTTGTGTGAGCTCTATTTCTCTTTTAGACTGGACCAATTTCTTGTAGCTCTGTTTCTCTTTTAGACTGGATCAATTTCTTGTAGCCCAGGGTTACCTTGAACTCAGAGATCTGTCTGCCTCTGTCTCCTGGTTGCTGGGATTAAAGGTATGTGCCACAATTGCCTGGTCTCTATTGCTAACTAGTGAGGCTAGCTCTGCACTCTGATCTTCAGGCAAGCTTTATTTGTTAGATCATAAACAAATATCACCACACAAACCAGATGTGCCTAGAATACATGATACATCTGCCAAGTGGAAACTAACCTATTATTTAAACATACATCACCATATGGTTTTGGAAACAAAGGTCCAGACTATAGAATCTGGCTAAGAAAATACACAAGACTTCTCCCAAACCCCAGGATCTCAGACTGCCTGAGAGGCTAAAGATGGACCATTGTTCACTCCAGATTATAAGCTTTCTGTGTTTTCCCTGCCATCAGGTAAATGCTGAAGGCTTCTCTGCTGTGGAGGATGGGGATCTGACCCAGCGCATCCTGCTGAGCGATGTGAGCGCAGAGGCCGCCCAGGCATTTCTGAACTATCTCTACATGGCAGACACTGACATGCCTCCCAGCCTGGCTCCTGATCTGCGTTCCCTGGCCCTGAGGTTGGGATTCTACTTTACACATACTCCACAGCCTTTAGAGTTGATGGCATGCATTGGGAGATTGACAGCTCAAGGCAGGGTTGTCAAAGGTCAAGGCTGAGCCTGTCAGAATCTCATTATATTTTTACAACCCTGAGAAATGCATGATATAGTTGGTTAGAATGGGCGATTGCAGGGGTATGGAAAGCTAATTGGGGAGAATTATACTGGCATTGTGAGATGGTAGCCTGTGGCCTTAGCACCCTTAGACATAGAATATAGCTCCTTAATTGTTCCTATAAGAGTTACCTAGCATCAGGCAGGCATTCTTCCTCCTAACGAAGCTTAAACACCTCTGGGGTAAAGCCTCACCCATCTCAGGCTGTGTAAATTCTTGGGTGCCTTTTGGAAAAAGGGACAGCTCAGCGATGGGTGTTTGAGATATACTGACTGGGTTTTGGAGCCTTCTGATAGGTGGTTAGCTAGCCTGCCAATAATTCTGTCCATGTGGTTTTTCTCAGGCACAGGGTCTTGAGTGACTCTCAGTACTGCCTGGTTTTATAGCCCTCCCAGCTCCTGTGATTGCCAGCTCACCTGACACACCTTCACTTTGTCAGCAGTATAGTTTAGGCACCATGGCTGCTATCTAGAGCCATGACTTGAGGGTGTTCCTACACAAGGGGAAAGACCACAGAGACACATCCTGTTCCTCTACATGAGGTCTGCTCTGGCTACCAGTCCCAGGTGCCAGCAGGTGCCCCGCACAGAGCAGCGATAATATAGTGCCTCCTGCTATTGCAGATTTGGTGTGCATGACCTTGTTCACCTGTGTGAACAAGTGCCTGTCATGACGGACTTGGAGGGAGAGCAACAGGAGGAGAAGGAAAATGAGAATTGCGAAAGCAGAGCGGAGAATTTCCAGGAACTCTTGAGGTCAGTGTGGGTAGATGAGGAGGAGGAAGCAGAGACACTGTTGAAACCTGAGGTCTGTGAGGAAGACAGAGAAAAAGTGAATGAAGCAGAAATGGAAGAAATTTATGAATTCGCAGCCACTCAGAGGAAGCTGCTCCAGGAGGCAAGTGCGGCAGACACAGATGAGGATGCTAACCAACTCGGGGAGGTCAGTCCAATTTCTGAGCCTTCCCCAGCAGGTGCCCAGAGTAACAGACAGACAGAACAAATGGAGTCATCTGGGCTGGTCAGCTGGGAAAATGAAAGAGATTCCATTCCACCCCAGGGTCAGCGCTTTGCCTGGGGAGAAAAAGCAGATGTCCAGGAGGCACTAAGGGAGGCAGCTGGCCAGCCCAGCTCCTGTAGCCCTCCTGAGAGCCACCAGGTGAGTGAAGGGTGCTCAACTTTGCACCCCACCAAGGCCCATGACTACAAACAGCTCTTTGCATCAGCTCAAAGAAAATCATCTCAACTGTCAAAAATAACAATTGATCATGAAGAGCAGAGTGACACTGTTAGTGAGAGGCAGGCAGAGGTGGCCCGTTCCCGTGCTGTGGAGCAGGCACCCTGCTTCCTCCTGTCTCAGTCTCCTGTAGATGGAAGTCCCAGCCAGTCACAGCTTCATCTCTATCACACAAGCAATTTGTCCCCATCAGTGTCCCAGTCACACAGTAGCATTTCCAAGATGGCATCCCCAAGCTCACTGTCTCCAGTCACACCAGCTAAGCAGAGAAGGGACAGCAGCATTCTCACATTACTGAAAGAACCAGGCCACCAGAAGGGCAAACGAGGTAGTTCCATGTTGGGACGCAGAAATAGGGGCACCCTGATTTCCCCGGCAAAGTCTCCACCCATTGACCTGACCCAGTCCATACCTGAACACTTGAGTCCCAGGGCCCAGAATCCTCTGTGTCATGTGAAGGAAGAGGGTGAGGTTATCCTTTTACTGGATTCAGATGAGGAGCTGGAACTAGAGCACACCAAGACAAAGTTGGTTTCTAAAGAATCCCCAGAAATTAGGAAAGTTCTAGAAGTTAGCCCCAGCTCGTCTGAACTGTTTTCAATCATCGATGTTGATGAAGAGCAAGAGCATTTCCAAAGCCCACCGAAGAGAGAAGCTGGGCTACAGAGGGGAGAGGAGGGGCAGCTGGAAAATCAGTCCACCCTGCAAAGCAGAGAGATCCCCTGGCTGTTCTGCAGCCAGAAGAACAGCCTGGATGAGGACAGCACTACAGACACCTCCTGGCTGGTGCCTGCTACTCCAGGGCCCTGTAAGAGCCGTGATTGCTCATCACAGACCCAAATCTTAAGCCTTAAGGCCAGGAGCCCACCAGATGAGACTGTTGAGCTCACACCCAGGCCTTCCATAGATCAAAGGACTGTGCAGGAAGCAGCCCAGAAGTTCTCAGTGGTCATGTCACGTAAACTGCCTCTTACTCAAGGACCTTCCGACAGTGGGAGACAGGCCTACAGAAGCCCTTCCCACCCTTACCCTAGACGCCACAAACGCTCTTCTTTACAGCCATGTCCTACCCCTGATTTTACCAGGTGGCCCCAGAAACACTCATCACCTAGGCCATGCCTGCCAAACCAGACTGCAACTGATGAAGTGGTAGAAGTTGGGGACAGTGATGATGAGCAGGAGGTGGCTTCCCATCTAGGAAACAGCAGCCCTGTGCCAGATGGTGACCCCCTGGTCCCCATGGGTGACTGCTGTTGGCATGATGAACCCCTCTCACCAATTCCCATTGACCACTTGAATCTGGAGCGAACTGGCCCCCTGACCACAAGTAGTCCAAGCCGTCAGTCCCAGGAGGCCCTGCGTAGCGTTGACTGCCACTCCCCAGGGCTCCTGGGCACCACTCCCATCCGAGGAAGCTGTGGTGCCCTGAGAGAGTCTCCTGAGCAGTCTTCACAGGCTGCCTCTCCAGGGAGCAGCAAGCTGAGTTTCATGAGCCCGGCCCTGTGGGATGACTGGGACGAGGAAGAGCAACACTCTCCAGAGGCCCCACCTGAGGCCCAAATGCTGAGTGCCAGATCTTGGAAGCCAGGCAGCCCAGAGACACCAAGTGAGTGGCTGTGAGGCCTGAGAGGTCTTGTCCTTTTCTGTTTACACTAATGGGATGTGGAGGTCTGGGGTGAAAAGTGGGGCTAGCAATGTTGAAGGACTTACTCATCCGAACAAAACCTTTCCTTTTCCCTCCCAGACTTTCCTGTAAAGTAGAAGTGGCTGGCTCCCTAGGATATACTTCATAACCAGCAAGTCAGCATTTCCTAAGCCTGCCCGTGTCTCAACTAATGCACTGATTAAAAGGTCCTTTCTGAGAACCCACCTCCAGAACACTGATCCAGAAGCCAGAGGTTACAGCTGTCAACAAACATCACAGTTGTACCCTAAGATGGCAAAGTGTGGTTCCTTAAAAAGTTCAATAATGGGCTAAGGCTACAACTCAGTGGTAGCATACATGGGACCCTTAAATTCAATCCCAGCACCAGGTGTATAGAGAATTTAAATATACAAACCTGGGTGTGATGACACATGCCTGTGATTCTAGCACTTGGGAGATATAGGCAGGAGGATCAGAAGTTCAAAGTCATAATCAGCAATATAGCAAGCTTCATGTCTGGACTACATGAGACCCTGCATTCAGGAGGCAAAGGCAGGCAGATCTCTGAGTTTGAGGCCAGCCTGGTCTACAGAGTGCATTCCAGGACAGCCAGGGATACACAGAGAAACCCTGTCTTTTAAGAGAAGAAAAAAGAAAAGAGAGAGAGAAAACAAAATACAGCTAGGGATATAGTTCAGTCCTTAAAGTGCAAGCATGAGGGCTTGAATTCAATCTCTAGGCCCCATTTAGAAAACCAGGCATGGCCAAGGAGTTGTAATCCCAGCCTTGGGGGTGAGGGGGGTGGCGTGGAGGCAGGAACATCCATGGGGCTCATTGGTCAGCCAGCACAGGAGAATTGTTAGACAAGCCCAAGGTTCCTTGTCTCCTAAGGAAGGTGGACAACTCCTGAGGAACAGCATGCAGGGTTGACCTCTGTCCTCCACATGTACCCTCACCTCCTACAGACTCTCATACAGACAAGAGTCACTTCATAGAACCCAGAAATTCTATTTTCATCTGTCTGTCCAAAATAATAGAAAACTGGGATTCAGGTAGTCATTCACAGTAGCCAGAAGGTGAGAGACCCTAATGCATTCCAGCAGATGAATGGCTACACAGAATCCCACCTGTACACACAGTGGAAAGTTGCCTAGTCATAAAAGGGAGTGAGGTAATGATTGAGTGTGCTATACTTGTGAGATTTAAAATGTGATGGTAAAGTGACAGAAGCTAGTCACAAATTGTCACTATTTTTTTTTTCTATTGAATGTATAGAATCCAGAGCAGTACAACACAGACCAAAGGTTCCTGGGGCCAAGGGGAGGCGGCCTGCTTATTTCGTACAACGTCTTTTTTGGGTTTAGAACCAGTTTGCCCAATATTGTAAATACTAAGTGGTACTGCGTTGTTCACTCTAAACTTTTTAAATATCAATCTCATTTTTTTTTTAAGGGCTAGTGTGCAATACAGTGAGTAGTTAGCTTGCATGGTGGGCTCCTAGTACCACAAACAAACAAAAAAGCCTGAGTGAAGAGAATGTGGGAGAGTGTTAACTTCCAGTGTGTCTCAGTCATTCAGTGCTTCTTGGCAGGGAGGGAGAACAATAGCTCTGTACCACAATGAAATCACATGGAACCCTGCTGCTTCCTTCCTATATTCCCTGAGCTGCTGACACACTTGACCTTCAGTGGTTTCAGATCACCTGAGACCCCAGCACCCCACTGCCCTGCTACAGGGGCACCCACTCCCCTACCCCCTCCCCGGCTCAGCTTCCAAAGTGCTGGAATTACAAGTGTGAGCTTCTAACTGAAGCCTGTTGTTGTAAGCAGGTGTTTTGTTGTTTGTTGTTTGTTTGGCTCAGGCTGTCCTGAGAGTTGAAGCAATACTTTTGTCTAAATGTCTGGGTTTTGCACCACCTGGCATTTCTATTAATTTTTTTTTTTTCTTATGGTCTTTCAAGACAGGGTCTCTTTTTGTAGCCCAGGCTGCTGTGGAACTCACTCTGTAGACCAGGCTGGCCTTGAACTCAGAGATCTACCTGCCTCTGCCTTCTGAGTGCTGGGATCAAAGGTGTGCACCAGCACCACCTCAAAGCATTTTTATACTTTTTTAGGAAATAATCTATAGCTGGGCGGTGTTGGTGCACGCCTTTAATCCCAGCACTCAGGAGGCAGAGGCAGTTGTATCTCTGTGAGTTCGAGGCCAGCCTGGTCTACAGAGCAAGTTCCAGGACAACCTCCAAAGCAATACAGAGAAACCCTGTCTGAGAAAAAAAAAATTTTATAACTTTATTTTATGTGCATTGATGTGAGGGTATCAGATTCCCTGGAACTGGAGTTATAAACAGTTGTAAGCTGCCATGTGGGTGCTGGAAATTGAACCCCTGGAAGAGCAGCCAGTGCTCTTAACTGCTGAGCCATCTCTCTCCCCACTCTACCCTCCCCCAAAAGCATTTCTAAGGGGAGTCATACCGTTTCATAACTGGCTTCCTAGCACAAGTTTTCCAAGGTTCTTCTTTATTTCCTTCTTATATCTGATTTCCACTTGCCATTGGTGGACATTTGAGTTGTTATGAATAATCCTGCTTTGTGTGGACATAATTTTTATTTCTGGGTCATAGGGAGCTGCCACACGTGCTCCCCCCCCTCCCACTACCATAATGCTTCCTTTTACACACCCTTCAAGAAATGTGTGAGGTGAGGGTTCCTATTCTCCCCTCTAGTGGCTGTGAAGTGGTATTGCACTGTATTTTGCTACCTGATGGCTCATGACGCTGAGCATCTTTTTATGTTTTTAGTGGCCATTTGTGCATGTTCTTTGGAGAGATGCTTGCCCCAATTAGAATTACATTGTATTTTTTCTTTCACTTATTTATTGTGTGTGCATGTGAATGCAGAGGTTAGGAGACAACTCCCGGCGTTGGTCCTCTCCTTTCACTATATGGCTCCCAGGGATTGAACTCAGGTCATCGGGCTTGCGATAGGCACCATTACCCACTCCCTGAACCATGTCAGCAGCCTACATTGTCTTCTCCTTGATGAACTAGGAAGTTCTGATGTCTAAGCTTGAAAGGTATCAGTGCTGCTAATGTTGCCAGTCGTCTGATGCTGACACTGCTCACCAGGTCACTCTTTACCATTACGATAGATCATGTGCTGGGCTGTTTGTTCTAAGAGGCCCTGGAGCCTGTGCACCAGACATTAGCGTTGTGTACATGGTTCTTCACAGTTGCTGTGTACTCCTCCCAATGGGAAGATACAACTCCAAATGGCAAAGGTGGCCATTAATGCTCACCTTGACCATGGTGTTGATTGGGGTCTAGCATTTCCCATGTGACACTTCCAAGACAAGAAGTGGTAGCAAATCCATGCCTCTCATGGTAAGACCTATGCTTCTCATGTTTTATCCAGAAGGTGCTAACCGGAAAAAGAACTTGCCCCCCAAAGTGCCTATAACTCCAATGCCAAGGTATTCAATCATGGAGACCCCAGTGCTGAAGAAAGAGCTGGACAGGTTGGTAGTGTTCCTCCAGGTTTCTTCTTAGGTGATCTCCTGGGAATAACTAGGCCAGGAAGTAGCCTGACCCAACACCTCCCTTCAAGTCTGGGAGATGAGCTGGCCTGAGCCTGGGTGGGAAGTCCTGCAGGCTTCTCTGCAGAGGGTGTGTCTGCTTAAGTAGGGTGGATGCTGGGCTTTTCTTCGCTTCTACCAGAGCTGAGCTCAAGAAGCTAACACATGAGGCTCTTGTGGGTTACTCCTAGGAAATAGGTCTTTATATTCTATAGTGGTAGACATGGGACCCTAGCAGTGTCATCCAAGTAAGGAGACTTCATTTTTTAAAATAATGTGAAAACTGTCACATTCTAACAAGTACTGCTCTTCAGCCTGAGTGCTTGGTGAAGCCAATGCTTCTGCCATTTCTCTGGGCACTCTGGGTTCTGGCATGGATCTCCTTTAGAGCAAGCTTAGTTGGCACGTGGCCAGATGGTCAGCTTTGACTGTGCCTGAAAGTCAGGCTCTAAGATTTTAATCCAATAAAGCCCTGTGCCCCTCTGCAGAAATAGCTGCACTGTTGACCTCTGAAGTCCACCTCTTTCCACATGCAGGTTTGGAGTCCGTGCTCTGCCCAAACGCCAGATGGTTCTAAAACTGAAGGAGATTTTCCAGTACACTCACCAAACTTTGGAGTCAGACTCGGAGCATGAGATCCAGTCCTCCCAGGTGCCCCCAGAGGTATCTTGCAGCCAAGCCCCTCCCACTGAGACCTACAAGTCTTCAAGGTCAGGAAGCTATAGCCAGCTCAAGGCCACTGCAGGTCTTGGGACTCAAAGAGCCAAGGGTCCCACTAAGAGCAAGAGCCCTCAATATCGAAAGAAACAGCGTGGTGCAAGTATTTCCCACCTGAGCAGGTTGCCAGCTGGGGAGCTGCCTTCAGGCCCTGATGGGAACACCGCACTCCCAGCCTCCCAGGAACCCTCTGCGGATGGCAGTGACAACTCCTTTAGCTCTCAAAGGTAACAGACGCAGCAGGGTCAGTTAACATCATGTGTCCTCTGAGTAGTGGGGTTTGAGAGGGCATCAAGAAAGCCTAATAGCTAGTGTCCAAAGCCCATAATTCCTGGGCTCTGTAGGAAGCCCACATGGTTTAAAGGTTCACTCCTGGAGTCCCTACAGGCCTTTGAAACTCTGTAGCTTCCTTATATGTGGGAGCTTTTTGGCTAAGGGGGATCCTATCTAGACTGGCCCAGCCAGAGAACTAGAAACCACAAACCTGTGGGACACCATCAGGAGTCTCGTCACATGGGAGGCCCAACAGAGCCCTGGGAGCACCCACTCCCTCAGAGGGGTGTCTGGTCTTGAGGGCTGCAGACAAAGGGTGTCACAGATGATCATCGTTCTTTTCAGTTCCACCTGTGAGTTTGGAGCTGCCTTAGAGTCGGCAGGTGAAGAGAAGGACGAGGAGGAGGGGGTCAGTGCATCACAGGTTGCCCTCCGGGCCGCAGACACAGAGGAGGCAGTGAGACGCTATATCTGCTCCAAGCCTGCCCTGTATCGGAAGGTTCTAACATACCAGCCTCTCGAGCTGGCTGAGCTACAGGCGGAGCTGAAGCAGGAGGGGATCCCTGTGGCCATGGGCAAGCTCCTGGACATCCTAGATGCCCAGTGCATCACCTTCACAACTGCCGCAGCCCGAAAGGAGAAGCTGAAACAGAAGCGACGGCAGCCCCTGGGCAGAAAGAAAAAGGATCAGAAATGATAGGCTATCTGCCAGAGGGCCTGGACACCCAGTGCAGTCAGGCCTCTGCGGGTAATGTCTCAGTATATCAGCCTGCATCTCTGTAAAGGACAATGTCCCCAGCATACTCTCTCTCCTGACCAGCTCTGTGTGTTATTCCTGGATCTACAGCCAGGTAAATTACAGCCTCCCCGCCTCTGCCCCCTCAGTCAGTGCCAGTTTTCCCACCTTTGGCCCAAGCAGGATTCCCCATCTTACGTGTTCTGAGAGTCAGTGGGCCGTACCAGCTGACCAGGGCAAGCGCCAGGCTTTCTTCACTTGGCACTCTGTGTCCACTACATCCAAGCACAGCTGTCCTAGTAGTATATTCTGAGATGAGCATGAGGCCCAGCCTGCCTTCTCAGCATTCAAGCCACCCCAGCCCCCAGGGCAGCCTGCACCAATCCATCACAGGTGCTCCTCTGACCTAGTGCCTGCCCAGATACTTGTCATTGTCACCAGCATTTTCTAAGCAGGACTATGAATAAGGCCCAGCACAGCTATGAAGACCTCCAAAGTAAGCATGCTGTTTCTGGGCTCCTCTCATGTGTGTTAAGCCTCCTTGACTCAGAAGCAGTGTGGACCCTGGGGAGGGTCAGAAAAAAAGAAGTTTGGGTTTCCATAGCCTGCGAATGTCCTTGTCTGTTTTAAATACAGTGAAGTTGTTTTATATGAGTGCAATAAAAACAAGGCTTTATTTAAAATAAATAAGTGTAGATGTTCCTCTCTGGGAAATTTATGGGAAACATGGTGACTTGAGCCCCACCACTCTGCTGCCCACCAATGGCTGTGCACCTCTTCTTATCTTGGGGTGCTACGACTGCTTATTGCCCACTTTTCTGTGGTTCCTAGATAACAGACCTAGATACTTGTTTGCACACTCACTGTCCCTATGTTCACACTAATGGTGCCCTCACTGGCACTCAACTGCAGCTGCTCAGGGAAGCAGACCAGGGGACAGCCTGAGTCTCATCCGGAGTGTCACAAGTGCCAGGCTGGTCCGGACAGACCTACTGAGTCAGCTTTGCCTTGTAGCACAGTGGGTGTCTGGCACTGATGTAGAACTGTGTGTGACCACAGGGAAGATCGGCCAGCCATTCTTTCAAGAGCTGGAGTGTGGCTCGGTGATTGAGCACCTGCCTGGCATACCTAAGGCTCTGTGCTCAGTTCCCAGCACTGCAACAAGAAAGAAGTACCTTTGGGCCCTTAGGATGACATCAAGTTCAGATTCCTAGGAAAGGTCTGTGAACTGACCTTAGGGGCCAGCAGTGTTTGGGGAGGTGAAAACGAAGCTTTGTGTCTGTGAAATGTGTGTCCTGGCCTTGACCAGGCAGAAAGAAATCAGTTCTGGCCTCTGACATCCTGGGCAGGCAGCTTGAATAGGCTGAAGAGGGATTCTGGCCTATGTTAGAAGGTGTGGTTTCTCCTATAAAGGATGTAATGGGGTCATTGCCCCAGGGCAGAAGGAACCTGGAGGGAAGTGAGCTTGGGCTGTCAAGACAGACATGGGGTCTTATGACCTCAACAGGCTGTGGTTGGGATGTGCTCCTCTGTGTGTCCCTCCTGGGAAGAAGCAGGGGACCCTGCTGTCCTCAGAGGATGTCCATGACCCACAAGAAGTGAAGAGGCCAGGTTGTCCATAAAATTCAAAAGTCAAGTCAAAAAGCTGTGGGTGGCTAAAAGCAGAGAGACAGCCAGTGGGTTGAGTCAACCTCCTCACCGCGTTGCCAGGCTGGGTCCACTGGCTCCTGGCAGCCAGCAGTACTGAGCAGTTGGCTAAGGCTGCACATGTGTGCCATGGGTAGCCAAATGACAGCCTTGAACCCCTAAACCTATGTATTCAGCATCATTCACTTGTTCTAAAACAACAGTGAATAGTTGCTGCTTCTGGAGGAGGGTTAAAATGAACCACTGCAGTGAAGGTGTGACCACCATCCAGAACTAGTAGGTAAACAGGGATTTGGGGGAAAAAAAACCTCAACCTTCCCACAAAGAAAACACTGGCTCCAGAATCACAGCACTGGGCCAGCCACTTGAAGAGGAAACCAAAACACAGGGCTGCCTCACACCTCCAGTGAGACTGAAGCCACATGGGCACAGGGACCCCTTGTTGAATAAAGGGGGAGTTCCCTTCCAGAAACCACCTTCGTTCATAGAGTTAGCACAAGAAGAAAGCACTTAGCCCCACAACAATGTTCACTGAACACAAATGAACCATACAGTCACAGTATGGTCCAGCCTTTGCCATGGCCTAGGCTTGTCCTCTTAAAGCAGCCTGTGCTGAGCCACAACCCAGCTTGAATAGATAACCACTGGCCCAGGTAAGGGAGCTCACAGGGAAAGGTCCAGGACCTGCAGGAAGGAAGCTTCACACCCCCCAAATTAGGAAGAACTGAGACCATTTCCTGTCCTGCTGTCCTGCTCCCAGGGGACAGAAAGTCTCAGAATGAAGATGACCCCAGAAGAATGCATGCACACGTGCTCACACACACACACACACACACACACACAGAAAGAGAGAGAGAGAGAGAGAGAGAGAGAGAGAGAGAGAGAGGGAGAGAGAGAGAGAGAGAGAGAGAGAGAGAGAGAGAGAGAGAGGAAGAGAGAGAGAGTGAGAGAGAGGAAGAGAGAGAGCGAGAGAGAGAGGAAGAGAGAGAGAACGCAGAATAGCTCATGTATGGGCTGTGACCATTACTGGGAGGTGAGGATGGAGCTAGCACTGGGATGCTCCCCCACAATCCTCAGAGAGGAGATTATTTCCTCTCCTGCTAAATCCCTAGAGGAAGCAGCTGATCCTCTTGGGCCTCTTAAGTGTCAGAGGTTCACAAGACCCCTGTGTTTTCCAACATCCTGTAGGTACCTGGTTTCAGGCACCTTTGCTGCCCCCACCTGGCCAGGACTGCAGCCACCAATTCTATGCTCTGTCTGCCTGAAGCCTAACTGCTGTGTCCTCCAGTGCCTGGCATGTTCCTGTGTGCTCAGAAAGGAAGACAAAGAGCTGGTGTCCTGAAGCAGCATTTCTAACCTACCACCAAAGTCCTCAATGGGAGATGGACAAGTAGCAATCACAGGGCCTTATGTGTCTCTGCGTGCAGGCTGCTGCCAGCACCTGAACCCAACAGACTCCAAGGACTATTGCTCCTAGGTGCTTGCTGAAGAGCCCCAAGGCCCCTGTCACTTGGCTACCACCTTGTCACCTAACTCACCTCAGTGGCGTCGCATTAAATGGCTTGCTGCCTGTTACTAGATGTTCTAAACAGTTCAGTTATTGCAACTTTTCTTCTTTGTTCACTCTGAGCCATCTCCTTACCCTGTCTTTCCTGCCAGAGCAGAATACCTACTGAGGCTCACCTTCAGGGCTAAAGGGTGACCTTCCTGCTGTCCATGGTTGCATTCTGCTGTTTCAGGACCTAGGTGACTGTCTTTGGGGCTCAGTGACTCACAGGAAGACACAGACTAGAGCCAGGCCAGAAGGACCTTGGGAGAAAAGGAAGAGGTTTAGTAAAAGGAGAGTCACAGGGTATCAAAGCTTGCAAATGTACAGGCATTGCAGCCCCCTAGTTGTCTCAGTGGCGTGACCTAAAGCCAGGTGCAGACTTCCTCCCTGCTCACTTGGTTTCCCACCACCCACCTCAAAGCCGCCACCTGTTGGTGAGTCGGTGTGCTTTCGGTGGGTGGCTGGTGACACGGCAGTCTTGGCACTGCACCACCTCCTGAGCACATGCTGTAGGGATGGATACTCAGGCCCAGAATGGAGACCCAACATCGTTTCCCCACACTTTAGACTTCTGGGGACTGTGACAGAACCAACGAGGTGAGCCTAGGGCCAACCAGCTCACTGATTTGTCAGCAATGCTGTTGGCTTTTAAAACTAGACAGGAAGGAAGGTTGAGGTGGAGCCCCGCACAGGAAGGGCTGAGGAGCTGAGATGCAGTGACAGCCGGTAAGCGCCTGGGGACTGCAGGATGTGGTGGGTCTGTCACTCCTTGCTCTGAACAGTGTGGTAAACTCTCCTGATCCCTTCAGAGAAGGTTTCTTCACTGGACAGGCCAAGGCTCCAGACTCAGTTAGCCTGCTACTGATCATCCAAGGTATTCCACCTGGGGCAGAGCTGAGCCCAGGAGCATGCAGATGGAGCCCTCTGAGCACCCACTTTAGCACCCTGGAGCAGCAACAAAGGCTGGGAGGTAAGTAGAGCCCAGAGCACATCAGTGCAGGAGCTGGGGAGGAGGAACAGCTGGTAGGTCTCTTAAGGCCTGAACCACTCTGCACATGGGGAGACTCCAGAGTGCTAACCCCTGGATGCCGGGAGCTGCTGGGCCTGGATGCTTCATCTAGAATAAACTCACATGTGCCTTAGGATAAAGGTCCAGGACAGGTTCTAGGGGAGAAAGCCCAGATCCCCTGCCTTGGTTGATGGCATGGGGAGAAGAGGATGCATTGCAGGTTGCCACAAGTGAGCAGCAACGCTATTGGAACCCTGCCCCTCCCAGGCTGCAGATTCCAAGTAGGTGACCCTCTTCTCTGTGTTCAGTTCCTGTCTGTAAGTGGAGTAACAACTCCAGTACCTGCCCCAAAGGTCAAGGAGGTGGTACATACAGCTCCCAGGTCTAGTTTCCATAAGTACCCACTCGCCTAGGACCTCTCCTAGCCATAACCTGGGGGTAGTTGAAACTTGTTCTGAGACTGTTAACCATGGGAGACCTTCTGTAAGAGGCCCTGCTGCAGAGCCAGCTGCATGTTGGACATGGGGAGTGTTAGCTGTGGTATCCACCCCATGGACAGGCTCCCAGGCCCTCGGGCTCCTCAATCCTGACTCGAGAAGCCACCCCACAAAGGCTGTATCTAATCTTGTGCTGGGTTTCCAAGGTAGGGAAGTTAAGTGTCTCCTTAGGAGGCCGGGGCTACTTCTTCCTTCAGGGCACTGATCTCAGGAGCCAAATAGTTGCCATGGTGCCAGGTCAGGCCTTGGGAGCTGGATGAGGGTGAGGGATTGGTAATATGGAGAGACTAAAGTACTGTGGCCAGAGATCTGAGCATCCCAGGTGGCAGCCATCATAGTAAGCCCTACCCGGTTTCTAAGCCAAGGTAGGCAGGGCAATGCAGCCATTTGGAAGGGAGTCAGCAGGCCCAGGCCAGGACTGCAGACCTGGGAGAGGAGCATGAAACAGAACCAGACATAATGCTCTGTCAGAGCCAAGAAGCAATAGCCTAGGCCTTCCCAAAGCAAGGTATCCTCATCCTGTTGGTCAGTAGTGCATTAAGGTAGCATCTGTGGGTATCTGGTTACAGTAAGCAGTGTCTAGCCTTGGCCCATGGCCCGACAGCACCTACCAGAAAGCATGACATGACATTGCATCAATTCATTTGCTCCTTCTCTCTCTCTCTCTCTCTCTCTCTCTCTCTCTCTCTCTCTGTGTGTGTGTGTGTGTGTTACATTTATATTTTTACAGTTACCAACTTCGATTTTGAAAGTCAAAATGTACCTTACACAAAGGAAAGTGAGCTCAGTGGCTCTGTGCATATGTTTATATCACCACTCAGATCAATGGGTAGAAACTGGTACCTGAGATGTCTCTTATGCCCCCTCTCAGGCAGAAGCAATCACCACAAGAGTGATTATTTTAACATCTATCCTTTCAGATTGGTTTGGCCTGATTTTAAGCTCTCTAGAAATGGAAATCCCGAGCATATTCTTTTGTGGCAAG